CTATACTATATATATATATATATATATATATATATATATATATATATATATATATATATATATATATATATATATATATATATATATATATATATATATATATATATATATATATATATATATATATATATATATATATATATATATATATATATTATATATTTATATGGGGTGTTGTTCCCAGTAGTGCTACATTGGCATCAGGGTATATATATATAACATCTGTGACCAATATATAAACATATACTTCGCTTTGTTCATATGCCTTACACATCATCACTATCCATAGGCAACGCAATACTAGTAGTGTAACGCAATACTAGTAGTAATATTTAGGACACCCACCCAATATGTCTTCACGCAGTCCACTACCCCTGCACACATCCCGTCTTCCCCCCCCCCCACCACACACACACACCACAGGCAAGTCAAGGAGAGCGTGTCCTGGATGGTGGTGCGTATGGGCTCGCAGATGGTCTCCGACGGTGTACGTCTTCTCGCTGGTAAGAAAGACTTATTCAGCGAAAACGAGATGTCTTCCGAAAACACCCCCACCGCAGACCCCCCCACCCCTTCCCCCTGGTTGCCCATAGAGTTTGACCGGGCGTGTGACAAGCAGCCGGTGGTGTTCGCCCAGGTGCAAACGTACGACTATGCCGAGGCCAGCATCCTACACAGTCGCGTAGCCAACGTGACCAAACAGGGCTTTACAGCGGTCCTAGAGAGCTCATACCCAACCCAGCCCATACTCACACACCCCGACTACGAAACAGTCGCCTGGCTGAGTATGTGCAACACCAACCCCACAGCCCACCCACACGTCCACTCCGTCACGGAAGACCATGTGCCCTGGCACATGCACACCATCGCGGTCGGCGGGACAACCGGGGGCGACCTGGCGCACCCGTTGGGCGAGGACCAGGACAGGGCAGAATCGGCCCCGTTGGTTTTCGGACAGTTGCAAGACATGCCGCATGCGGGGTCGGCAGCGCTGCGCTGGGGTGTGGGGGCGAAAGTGGGCTTGGGCAGTAACAACACGAACACGGACACGGCTGAGCAGACGGATGACATACACATACACGTGGACGATCTGGGCATTGGCATGGTAGGTAAAGGGAGTGCATATGCGGGGGATGTGTACAGGACAGCTGTTTTGGTGTTCAGTGCAACTGTGGTGGCGGACGGCCGGGCCAAGACGTGCCCTGCCCCGAAGGAAGAGGACAGGCCAACTGGCCTGTCCACGGAATGCACGCCTGTGGGTGAGGAGCCGTTCTACTCGGGGACTAGTTGCTTCCACATATGTGGCAATCGAGGTGTGTATTGGGCCTATTGCACTGTATGATATGTTATGTTTACCAGAGGTTGGGTATGTTAATGGTGGTAGCACTGTATGGTGTATATTCCTTTTATGTTGTCTTGACTAGTGAATGCCGGTAAGGTGATGCTGGGAATGCGTCCAGATGTTTCTACATGGACTATCCCGATGGTTTGTGAGTCATTCCTGCTGCTGCACCTGTGGGTCGATACTATGAATTTCTTACGAGCGTGTGGAGCAGTGCAATACCTTCATCTCAATCGTATAAAGATAAATAGAAATATCACAATATGGTATGAGCTGCGACTATTTCGTCACCTGGAGGTAAATATAGTAGGTCGATATAGTAGGTCGATATAGTAGGTCGCTATAGTAGGTCGATATAGTAGGTCGCTATCGTAGGTCGCTATAGTTGGTGTCTGCAGACCATATACGATAGTACCATGTTTTTATCTGAATGATTGTGTAGTGGTGAATAGGCCATCAAGACTACTCGATCTCCCTTCCATAGAGGAGTCTTGTGATGTATCAACGTGGTTGTCCTATTTGATGCCTCAGTACTAGACCGCCCTCGATTCATTGCTGATAGGACACCCATGAGCCATCCTCGTCTGTACGGGTGCACTGATGAGTCCAGAGCTGCTCCAGATGGGTCCATTCAGTAATTCAAGCCTAACTTACCACGCATACATCGGAGTGTTGTTAAGATAGCTATCCTTCCCTCACACAACGTGTGGCTATACTCCCACATACGTGTTGACCATATACCCACCTCTCGCGTGCACCTATACAGGCGTGGTAAAGGGCCCCAAGTCCCGCCTGTGCACCTTTGACGGCAAATGGGACCAGCCGCTACCCACCTGCTCGTACAGCTGCGGGTCTGTGGCCGACATAGACCACGCCCTAGTCACATGCCCCGCAGACATCGACGCCAACATCGACACGCAGTGCTCAGTCGAGTGCGTTAGTGATGCGTATGAGCTGCTTGGTGAGGATTATATCAAGTGTACGGCCAGTGGATGGTCCAGGGCCCCTGTCTGCAGACCCTATGAACGGGAGACCATACAGTTTGGGCGGGCGGAGGAGGTCACGGGAGAGTGGCAGACGGTGGAGACAGACCAGATCAGCGACCCCATTGTGATTGCTATGCCACCGACCACCAGAGAAAGCGATCCGTGTATCACAGAAGTAAGCGCACAGAGAGAGAGTGTGTGTGTGCGTGTGAGTTGGTGTATGGGTGGGGTGTGTGTGTGTGGTTGGTGTGGTGTGTGTTTGTGTGGGTTGGTGTGGGCGTGAGTGTGTGTGTTAGTGTGGGTATGTGTGTGTGTGTGTTGGTGTGAGAGCGTGTGTGTGTGGTGGGTGTGTGTGTGTGG